GGGGGCGGCCGCAGCCGGAGCCGAAGTCAGGAGAGGCTTGAAACCCGATTGGCCAAGAGCAGCGTTGAGAGCGTTGCTATTATGTGCTGGAAGTGTAGATGTCGCGCTCGGTGAACCCAGAGCTGAAAGCCGACTACTAGAAGCGGTTAAGGATCTTCACGCTCAAGGCATCTTGTCTTTGAAAGCAGACAATGACGCGTGAGATTATTTAAAAACAGTGCCAAAGCATGGGGCGTACTAGGATTTTAAGATTTAAATTGTCAGGGTTTGTTATGGTATTTTTTTTTACACCGTGATGTGGAAAAAGACATTTAATAATTTATTGTATATGGCTTGATCAATATGTGTATAATGTTAACGAATTTTATGTAATTTAATTTTCCTAGCAACGCCCATAGTCAGTTTACCGAGTGTTCAAATTGATACGATAAGACAAAGATTTTACTTTTAACGAAAGCACAAATAATAGTAAAGTTTGAGTATTATTTTCTAATCGACAACGATCCCTTTCGTCACACCAGAAAGAGCCTAAATAAAGACTGAATTTTTATTTGAGTCGAAGTGTCGTACAATTTAATTTTAGTAATAAATTGCTCATCGTATTGCACGCTAAAAACTTATGGCGGTCTATTGATGATTATTTGTTTTAAAAATAAATATTATTTGAATGTATATGAAGTTTTAATTTTCGTTGTTATTATTATTTCGTTGTTGAACCCTTAAAAACGTTGCTTACTTAGAATGCTTACTTTTCTTGCTCTAACATATACCAAGATTACAAATCTTTAAAGTACAACACCATTGAATATTCATGTTAAATAAAATGTATTATTTTACATAGGATTTTGAGTAGGGTACATATATTTTAATTTCATCTTTACTGATCAGCTTGAAATTACATGAACCGGAAGCCGCAAAATTGTCATAAAAAAATTGTCGAACGTTATTGTCAAAATGTCAATGTCAATGTAAGAAAAGTGTCAAACCAAAAACATCTTGACCTTCGTATCGTTTTCAATAATATTTGGAAATGATTGGGAAGTGGTGATTTTCTCTTTTTTTTTCTGTTACAATTTTCATTCCTAATATGGCGCAAACAAATCAAATTAATCTGGACATAGAAGATGATCCGCCTAATGAGAGCCCCAACCGAAACATTCCCATACAGAGAATGGATTCTACTTCAAGACCACAAGCTCCAAGAAATAATATAGGCTTAGGGGATCGATTAAATAGTGTGTTTCGTGAAATCAGGCCGCTAGTAGAACATGCTCGAATGGTAAGTGCCATTTTAAATAGACTTATTTTCCGATCTTATACGGCGCAAACTAAGCAATTTATTGTCCAATTTCCTTATATTATATTATTGTTTTGTCGTCATTTGTCTCTAATATGTGGTAAATCATATTGGAAATTCGTGTTTCTGGTTATAGGGTGAAAATAAAGGCATTAAAAAACCTATAATTTCTATTAAACCATCTGGTTAGTCATATACATGTTTCATCAAAAGAATGATCGAGTGTGACATAAGATATAATAAAAATGGCTATAAAACATTGAAAAACAAACATTAAAAGAACAGTGACTAATAAAATCTATTATTTAATCTGTGAGTAACATAAATAGATATATTTTGAGTCACAGATTATAAAGATCTCATTAAAAATTTATTTACACAGCTTATATATCTATCTTTAACTAAGTATTTATAAATTAATTATGTTTATCATAATTTATTTCCTTTAGGGTAACAATGCCAGACTTTCTCTACCCACATGGCTACCAAGAAACACTCCTGGCACCCATCAGATTGGTGATGGAGTTCAAAGGCCACAGAGTTCCATTGCTCACATAAACCTCGGACCTGCCTCACAGACTTATGTAGTAACAGAGAGGGGTACCCCCTTAGCACAAAGGGCACAGGCTAGTACTCATGGGGTTAGTGCTAGCCCTTCAAACAACTCGAACCTCTCGGAACAGATTGAAAACCAAGATGTGAATGTACCAGTGAATCCAACACATAACAATAATGTGCATGATAATGCTGACAATGACAGCCAGAGTGATGATTTAAATCAGCAGGTAACACCTTTAGTGGTGAGAATTTATTGCTTTTAATAGTATGCATGCATATTCTTCAAAATCTTCAAAAAGATTACTATACATTTGTGTGTTGGTGGACATTGGTGTTAGAATAGGACATGGTTGGGGGAATGCCCAGGGTGTTAGACAATAAGGGATGGCACGACTGTGAATTAGTCTTTCACTCAGAAAACATAATAAAATGGAGGTATAGAAATCTTGCCTATGATTCTGGTAGTGATAAAACTGGCACAGAATAAGCAATACTTCAGTTCAGAATGCACAATGATTCTGTAACAAAAGAAAAAAAGTTCATTGTCTAATCTTTTTTTTTAATTTGGAATTATTGTGATTGTATTCAATCACTATTGCTATCTCTGTTTATTCAAAATTATTTACAGTGATAGCTACATTTTCGTAATATATATTACAACAGACAATGACTACATTTTATATCTCAACTTCTTAATCAAATTACAGTAGACTGTAGTAAATTTCAACATTGATTACATGTGTGTACATCAAAGTATTGCAAGATTGTAAAACAAAGATTTAAAATAATGCAGATATTGCATTTAGGATATAAACAGTTAAATATGTTGATTACATTTATGTATATATTGGGTTAAAAATGGAAAATATCATGGGAAAATTTCCATTATAACATGGAAAGTGGATAATCGCAGATAAAAATATTTCAACCAGACCTTTACATGTTGTTATAATCAGTTAATATTGTTACAGGTTTTGGATGTGAGGGGGGCACTAAACTTTTTGATCCGCTACGCGCCTTTCTACCTCATCTTGTTTATTAAATTGATATACGACAGCAGGGAAGGTATTTTCACGTTTTGTGTTCTGTTCTGCACATTCACACATTGCAACAGCCTTGTGAGAAGGTAAGTTAAAATAATAGCCCCTTTTTTCCACTAAAATATTGTCCTTGCTTACAATGTCTTTTTATGTTATGACTTATTTAGCTATTAGAAAGAGAGGGAGGGAGAGAGAGAGAGTGAGAGAATTAAATAAAAAACTTATACTTTGTGTTGGTAATATGGTTACAGTTTTTGAAACAGTATGAGTGAGATGCCCAATCTTACTTCTTACAAAGATGGATGGATGTTTGTTAGAGTTTGTAGCCTAAACGGCTGAACGGTTCTTGATTAAATTTAGCATAAATGTTAGCTATCTAAGCTAGCTAAGGATAGCTTGGAATAACTCATAGGCTACTTGCGTTTTTTCTAATTCGCGGCGAACGGTGTCGCGAGCGAAAGCTAGCGAGTCATAATTTTACATTAGTTACATTCTAAAACAAGCTATAGAGAAATTTTAATGTAGTTCCAGTATAACTGTATAAAGTTTGATACCAACAGTTCAAGATTATCACTAATTGTATTCGTTCCAGGGAGCATGGAAAGCAAGGAAACCGCAGTATACTAGCATTATTTTGTGAGCTAGTGTTCACTGTCTGCTGTATAGGTGTGGTGCACTTCTTATTTGGTCACGGCAAGTTATTGCCCAATGTGATCATGTTCCCGGGGTACACGGAGCCCATTGATGTCTGGGAGCTGCTGTGGCTCGTCATACTCACTGATCTGATGGTTAAAATTGTGACCGTTGATGTCAAGATATTGGTCACTATGATGCCAGCTTTCTTATTGCCATTCCAGAAAAGGGTATTTAATATAAGTTTTGTTTATATGTTTACTCGCTGTTTCTCTCGATTTCGTACGCCTAAAATTAAAAAATAATAGTAAACATAGCCTATGTTACTCACTGATAAAGTGACATTTTATTAGCGATAGAATTTTTGAAATCGGGTCAGTAGTTTGTAAGTTATTTCAATACATACAAAAATACAAATCTTTCCTCTTTATAATATTAGTATAGGTAACTGTTACTTGCTGCTTTAGTTGCCATAAAGACTTACTTTAGTTTCTTTCCGTTAAGACTTGTCATAGTCCAGCTGTCAGTTGTTTTGGAAATTACCCGTCCCATATCTGAACTTGTCAATAGACAGTAAAATTGAAAGAAACAGGTGGTTCTCAGTAGTACTATAGTCAAGTGTCTCCCATTGGACTGCTTGAGCAACCAATCTATTGACCCATTGAGAAATTTCCAATAGGAATCACTACATTTTCATGTATTTTCAGGGTAAGGTATACTTATTCACGGAGGCAGTTTCCCAGCTGTACCGCGCCCTGCTGACCATCCAACCGTGGGTGTTCTTCCTGATGCAATCATACGAGGGCTCAGAGAAGATGGTGGGCATGTTCCTCACCTCCATCTACGTCATCGCGAAGGTCGTGGAGGTGCTGGTGCGGCTGCGGCTCTTCAAGAATGCCACCTGGATTTTACTGCAGAGTGTGGTGAACAGTTTTTATAATACTTGTATTTTTAAATGGTATTTGTTAAGAAATCATTACTAGGTCCAACTAGCAGCAATATAAAACGACATTCAATTAAAAATGACTGTGGAGTTGACAAACTATTATCTATCTCTTTCTGTCTTGCGTATTTTCCTGTTTTGTTCTCCTTGCAAAAGTATGATGGATTTACCAACATTTGCCTATTGGGTTACCTTTTATAAATATAAGTGAATCATTGTGTTATTTAATAACTATAATAATAATTTATTTAATGTATATAAGTATACATATATATATAAAAATAATTTTATTTCATTTATATATAAAAGCCAGCCAGATGGAGACAAAATAACTTAAAAAAAAATATTTAATGTAACAATTATCTACATATTGAAGTAAACTTAAGCTATTTAGACCTGGTGCTGGCTACATGCACATTTTTTAAGTTAAAGTTTTTTTTTAATAAATAACCGTATACTATACACCTCAAATGTTACGTCATCCCGTATATAAAAATGATGTTACAGTTTTGTCTATTACAGAATTTGGGTACGAAGCCCACAGGCGAGCAGCTCGTGTCCGCAGGCGACGCGTGTCCCATCTGTCACGACGAGTATACGACGCCGGTGCGGCTTGGCTGCAGTCACATCTTCTGTGAGCTGTGCATCTCCGCCTGGCTCGACCGCGAGCACACCTGCCCGCTGTGCCGCGCCAAGGTCGCGGACGAGCCCACCTGGCGCGATGGCTCCACCACCCACGACTTCCAGCTCTACTAACTCCGACTGCAGTGAAAGTGTTAAGTGTTGTGAAAGTGAATGTGTTGTCAAACTTAAACTTAGGAATAAACTGAGTATAAGCAAAATTTGTACTAATATTCCTAAGTTTAACTTTCTACCGCGTTTATTTGTAAGGCTGTAAGTGTCTAAGGTATGTAGAATTGATGTTTTAAGAAATGTAGCTCAGCATTAACAGTAGTGTTTTAAAATCTTTGCGTCAGTTCTTCCCGCAATGTCATAACTCCACAGAAGGCAGCTGTGAAGTGGAAGTTATTTTGTGTTTTAACCAATGAATTTGCGTGCTGAAGACCTAAGTTAGGTTTTCTTTCCACCCTTTTCGTGTAACGGAATGTAACATAGGTAGTTGTAAAACTTCTATGCATGTTCTCTGTTGATTGAAGCAGCGGTCGCTTCGCTATTTTCGCGAATTCCGTATGCCGTAAGTTCGTTTGTCATCTTATATCTTTGTTAATTTATAAAAATGTTCACCTCATTAGATCCCGATTTGCCAGAAAAGTTTTTAAACGACTACCAAAAACTTTTGCTATAACTTTTCTTTTGCGAAAGTGTGCTTTTTCCGCTTTGTTATAGCTGTTTTATCCAAAAAGGTTTGAAGTAAATAGTTAAGGTAATTTAAGCTAGTAATTTTAAAATGTATTTAAGCATTTATGTCCATGTAATGTTTCTCTCTATTAGTGTAGTGGTTAATGGAAATCATTTATCCCTTTTTGTCTGTTAATATTCTGACAGAGATTCTTAAACATTATTTCCGCCCATATTTTTAACATTCCGACTTTTTTTTAATTTATTGTTCCACAAGCAATTGATTATATAAATCACATTTTGTTTATTTAAAATGTGTTGTATTTTTATCTTATATTCCTATTTCCCATATCTTATTGAGATTTAAGATTTTAAAAAAATCTTGAAAGGTAATTTAATAAGATATGCATTCCTTGATATTGTCGTTTTTAGGTCATAAGGAAATTATAAAAAAAAATTGTCAACTTATGTTTTGAAATGAAATACAATTTTTTTTATTATGATTGCACTTTATTTGGCATTTTTCGTTGTTCATTTAATTCCTGGTGCATCTTTGTGACCAGTATTATAATATACATATGTAAATATGTAAATAAGTATATTGGAAGAATCTTTCTGAAACATCTTAATATTATCATTATTAATTAATCATTTTTGAATTTATTTTATGGTTGCTTTTTATCCTTTTTAGTAGAAGTAATACATTTTATTGTCTATGATTTTTTATTGCCCTAAACATTAAAAAAAATAGTGTTGCATCATTGCTATTAGAGAATTTTAATTATGCTACCACATTAAATTCATGGTTAAATTAATATTGCTATTTCCTCTATCCTATAATTTCCAAGTTAGTTTGTAAGAATAGTTTTGGTAGAATTAGGAATTCCTTTTATATATGTAATTGAAAATTCATAACCTTAAATGTAAGAAAATTAATGTTTATATTTAATATTAACATTTAAAATAGAATTTGTAGCTATATATAATAATAAAATGTTTAGTAAAGTTTAAGAACCCTGATATTTCAAATCTGCCAATGCTTCTAACCAACAAACCTGCCTAATAACAATAAACATATATTACAAAAACATTTATAACCCCTTTACCTTAATATATATCTAATCCTTTTTAATGTAATATCCAATCCTTATAATTGATAAAAAAAGTTTTAAGATTTATTAAATATTTGTTTAGTTGTAATGTTTGACTACTCCAAACCTAACCTATTATGTTAATTTTGAAGTAGAAAAATGGGACATTTAGGCCCTGTCCCACCAAATTGTAAATTGTCTGTTAACAATCCAACATGTAAAATATGTGATAGGAATTTCAGATTTTGTTATCTGACAGTGATGTCTTTTTAAACTATCTGAACCTCTATCAGCCAGTGCTGGGACAGGCCCATACATTTCTTTTTTATCCCCAGATAGTAAAAATGCTTTGTAATCGATTATAAGGTTTGGCATCATAGGGTTAAAAACATATAATATAAAGATGCATTTGAATTTATAGAATATACTTTCCTTGTTTTAGTTCTAATTATATCTAAACCAAAAAAATGTATAGAAAAATCTTAATTTTGTGTTAGGGTAATAAAAATATTCCATTGTGTGCATAGAAGTGACGTGTAACCGTTATTATAAGTATATTGTGATATAATTAATCGTTATGAAATACATGCCTATTATTTTGGTAAAAAATTGTTTTATTTGACTATACTTTCCTATGACAAGACTAAAAAAAAATTCGTGAAACCAGTCGGTTGCCAAAAAGCAGTTTATGGCGGTCTTTATTATGAAGAGATCACATAATACAGTTTTATTACATAACTTGATAAAATATGCGTTAGATTTATAAAAAACTAGCTGTTACTCGCGGTTTCGTCCGCGTGGATTTAGAGAAAATAGTAATATATTACCCAGTGATAACATAGCTTTTGAATGGGACATGAATTATTGTTATCGACCCAGTCGTTTTTGAGTTATTTTAATACATACAAAAATCCATGTCCATAATATTAGTATAGATTGACGCCGCTCTTACGGGAGTAGAATAAGGCAGAGGAGGACGATCAGATCAATATGTAAAAAACTAGCTTTTACCCGCGACTTCGTCGTAATATTCAAAAATAATGAAAATGTGGCCTTTGTTACTCACTGATAACGAAGCTTTTAAATGGTGTAAGAATTTTTTTAATCGGCCCAGTAGTTTTCGAGCCTATTCATTACAATCAAATAAACAATGTTTTCCTCTTTATTGTATTAAGTATAGCTTGTGCGGTATATTAGTAGTATAGGCAGCGTTCATTTCGCTATTATAGCTAATTCTACTGAACACTTGCTCGTTTGTCACATAAAAAGTATAGCAGATATTTAGGTCTTGCGCAAATAAAACAATACAATATTTATAATCACAATTTATTCATCAGTTTACAATATGATACACAGAAAATATTATAGCTTATACATTTACTTTCGCCTACAAATGTGAAAAAATTAAATAATTTAGAATAGTTAATAATAGTTATTATTGAAAGTATCACAAACATCGGATAGAGCGACGCGCTAAGCTTCCACCTTCAGGACGCGGCTTCGCGGCGCCAGTCCACGATAACAAACAGCGTGTCCATTGTTTAAACACTTGTATTGAAAAATAACCTCTCATTGTCTATAAAACAGTTTTTTAAATAGAAACATTGCAATGAAATTATTTTAACGCTCCATTTCTAAAAAAA